AAATGGTTGAGGTGCCTATTTAATGCATCAAAGCAGACCTGGCCTCCAGGTTCTCCCAGCGTCCCTCAGTCCCTACCTGTTACCGGGTGTGGCAGGCATATCTAGTCCCCTACTATGAACTTGGGGCTCTCCAGCCCAGGGGCTTGGCTACCCTTCTTTCCCCAGAGGCTCTTCCCTATATCATCCACACATTTTGGTTACTCCCCTTTTTTTAAATCTTTGACCTCCTGGCTACAACACCTGGTTCCCCTTTCTCCCCCCCCACATGGCCCAGCTCAGCCTGGTCTGGTTATGTCCACTCTGGAATTCCCCAGATATCCCTGCCCCTGACTATGATCTCCCACACATCTACAGTAAACTTTCCCCTCCACCATGCCTAAGACCAGCCATGCCCTTCCCTTTCCTTTGTATTTCTTTTTTTCATTTGGTAGCCTTGACTGTCCTGGAATGGAACTCTCTTTAGACCAAGCTGACCTTGAACTCTTGCATGTCTCTGCCTCCCAAGTGATGATGGGATTAAAGGCATACACCACCACCACCACCCAGATCTTTAGTTTTTTTGTTTGTTTGCTTTTAGCTAGGTAAGGCAGTGCACACCTTTAGTTCTAGCACTCAGAGGCAGGCAGATTTTTGTGAGTTGTAGGCTAGCCAGAGCCACATAGCAAGACCCTGTCACAAGAGCAAACAAACGAAACCCCGCATGGAAATACTGGGGACCCCCAGGGCCCATCTCAGGTGCCATCCCAGGAGAGAAGGATAAAGGCATCTCAGCCTGTTCTCCATGTAGCTTCTGGCATAACTTACAGAGGAAAGATTTGTCACATCTGACTACTAGAAGTTCAAGGAACAGCAGCAGCGCCAGGGGTTTCTCAGTTAAGGTTCGATTTTCCCAGGTGACCCTAGGGTGTTTGTCAACTCAACACAAACATTAACCAGCACAACTTTCTTGAGCCAATGGCATTTTCTGCTGCCAGGGGGGCACGTTTGTTGTTGTTGTTTTATTGTTTATTTCTTTTGGTTTTTTTTTTTTTTGAGACAGGGTTTCTCTGTGTAGCAGCCCTGATTAGGGAATTCACTTTGTATATCAGGCTGGTCTCAAATCAGAGACTCTCACCTCTGCCTCCTGAGTGCTGGGATTAAAGATGTGAGCCACCGTGCCCGGCTCATTTTTTTTAATTATTACTATTTGTAATTATTTAAAAATATGTTAGTAGATGTTGTCAGGTCTCCCAGAGTCCTTGGATCATTTTCTACTCAGAGAAGAAACACTGGACGTTACCACTCAGGTCCATATCTAAAGCTCCTACTGAGTGACACTGAGTGACACTGTTACACATTTGGTCCCCTTTCTGTTCTGACTGGTGATCCTCTTACTGGTTAAAATGTACTTTCCTAGAATGCCGAAGGCCTCTGCCTACCTGTTTGAGTTTTCTAATCTCCTGGACTTTGTTGTTGCCGTCCTAGGCTTTGAGCCTAGGGTCATCTTTACGGCTGAATCAGAGAGGAAATACATAATAAACATGCCCTTCTTCTTGGGGTGGGTCTGAAGACTCTTCAACTCCAGGCATGGAAGTCACATCGCTGGCAGGGACAAGCACAGAAGTCCTTGGAAACCTTTGTATTTTGGGGTAGTGTCTGGGGCCAGCTTCTCTAGCACCCGGGGCCACTAGGCCCAACTTTTGTTTTCAATGTGGAGACTCGTTTTAAGTATCTTTGCCTGTCTACCTACCTCCAATACCAGCGGTGTCCTCCTTCTTGGGTCCTTTTATGTTAGCTCATGAGCCAACATTTCCCCCAAGGAAGTTGTTTCTAGCCCTGTCTGGTGCTGCTAGCTAGGCCTCGGCCATGTGAGCAGCATATGCACAGCTCACAGACCACCGTAGAGCTCAAAGGAAGATGGTGATGAAACTTCGTTCAAGACTCGGGGGCATTGGACCAAACTCCCCCGTGTCTGAGGTCTTTGTTCAGAGCTACACTTCCTTCACGCTGGTAGCTAGGACTCAACCCTGATTGGAGGCAGAGAAGACACATTCCCATCTCAGTTTCCAAGTCTTCATGCTTGAGCTGCAAATGGGAATTGATAGTTCCAGCCTCCAGACATCTGGTGTGTACATCTATGACCCACAGGCTCTCTCTGCAAAGGACTGCTCCTGCTTCTCAACCCTGTAAATTTGAGCATCTAGCTACCACCAAGACTTCATTTAAATATATGTGCCAGTCTGTTTAAAGTGGTTTTATCCCATTGCTCCCAAGATACTCATAAGTCACATTTTTTTTAATACCCTATGTTGTTCTGCCCACTCCATTCTTGGGAGGGTGGAACAAGAACTGCCAGCCACCATTAGCAGTTTTCTAGTTGCATTAACCAAAGCCCATGTCATATAGCAAGTCTCTAGACCTTAATCCATTTTGAGACAGGGCCTTCTATAGTCCTGGCTGGTCCTGAACTTGCTAAGTAGCTGAGGATGACCTGGAGCCCCCAACCTTCCCATCTCTACCTATAGGTATGTGTTATCATTTGTTTGTTGAGATAGAATCTTAATCTGCATGCCAGTCAGGCCTCAAATGCTTGTAATTCTCCTGCTCCAGCATCCCTGCTGCTGGAATTACAGACCTAGGCTACCACAATTGATTTATCTGAAACCCTGACTCACATCTCCCTGTGTCTTTCCTCACCTCCCAAGTTGGAGATGACCTCTGGTGTAAGAGTTTAATATTTCTCCTTTTGTTTGTTTGTTTAAATTCATGATAAGATAGATATGTTGATTGGATGCTTGCTTCTCCTTGGGTGGTCACTTACCTGGAAACACTTGACTGAGTCAGAGAAGAAAGTTAAATGACAAGCAATCCCTTCTCCTGGGGTGGGCCTGAAGACCATGCTCACACCATCAGCTAAGCAAACTGAGAGGAAGAAACAGAGAAGGCCTTTTAGGATTACACACCAAAGTACCTGGAGCTTTTTGAAAAGGTCATCTGGGGTTCCTGGTAAAGTAGTGTTAAGGGCCCTGGGTCCTTTCTCCAACACTACAAAATAAAATATATTAAAATGTTTTGTGGCTGGGTGGTGATGGCACATGCCTTTAATCTCAGGAGAGGGAGGGAGATGAACTTCTGAGTTCAAAGCCAGTTTAGGCTGCAAAGTGAGTTCCAGGACAGCCAAGGCTGTTACACAGAGAAACCCTGTCCAAAATAATAAAATAAAATAAAATAAAATAAAGGTGTTTTGTGCCCTGAGAAGGGGACAGATTGTCACAAATATTCTTCAGTGCTACGATTAAGTCAAGGTGGAGTACTTGCCTAGCATATATAAGGGTTTAGAGTCTATCCCTAGCACTGCCAAACATAACTAAGAACTACTACCATCACCCCAAACTCCACTTTGTAGAGGCAGAACTACAGGCATGACATGGTGGGAAAGGATCTAAGCAGCGTAGAACCTAGAAAGCCTTGAGTGGCTAGCATGGCCACAGACACACGTTGGCCTGGGATATACATGGGAACAAAGCAAGAGCCCTATGAACAAATCCATCCATAGATGAGTTTAAGGAATTCCCGGTTTGTAAGGGATGTCCTGGCCCTTGGGATTGGGAGCAGCAGCCACAGGCAGAATTCTGAGGAGGTCTGAGTGATCTTTGGTTGTAAGATCTAGTCTCTGTCAGGTGGTATTCTGGCTATTTGTTTGTTGTTTTGTTTTGCGTTTGTTTTGGTTTTTGAGTCAAGGCACTCAGGCAGTCCAGGCTGGCCTCAAACTTACTATGTCACCAAGGATGACCTTGAACTTCTGGTCCTCTGTCTCCACTCCCAAGATCCTGAGATTTCAGGTATGTGCCACCACACCCAGTCTATAGGCACCTACTGACTGAATCCAGGGCTTCCTGGAAGCTAAGTAACCATGCTACCAACTAAGGTGTGCAGCCTCAGGCCCAGCAACTGAATCCAGGTGCCCGTAGCTTCATTGCCAGTCTCCCAGAGGTTGAGTACGGGAAAGATGCCCACCACCAAGTACCAGGGGCACATCTGATCTTCTTTATCTCTTTGGTTGGCAAGCAGGGGTATGCCAGGAGACTGAGCAAACAAATCATTTGCAGCCTTCACATACCTACAAAGGAGAAACTGGAAGCTAAAAACCCTGTGGGTTTTAGACTAGAAAGGTTTTAAACTTAAAAGGACTTTAGGGCAGGTGAGATGGCTCAGTTGGTAAGTTGCCTGCCGGGTCAGCCGGGTGAACTGACTTCAACTCCAAAACCCACATAAAGGTAGAAGAGAACCCATTCCACAAAGTTGACCTCTAACCTTCACACACATGGCCTCTGCCCCAAACACACACACATACACCCCTTATAAAATAAAATTATTGTGCATGTTCTGATGTGTGTGTGTATGTGTGTGTGTGTGTGTGTGTGTGTGTGTGTGTGTGTGTGGTAGGCATGTATGCCGAGGCGCACATGTGGAGGTCAGAAGGCAATCCGTGGAGTCATTTCTCTCTGTGTCAACGTAGGTCCCACAGACTGAATTCAGGTCATCAGGCTTGTGTAACAAGTCTTCATGCACTGAGCCATCTCTCTCACCCGTAGAATTGTTCTATTTTTGGAAGTTTTGCTATGTAGCCCAGGCTGACCTTGAACTCATAATACTCCTGCCTCTGCCTTCTTAGTGCTGGATTACAAGTATGCCCCATAATACTGGGGTTAGTTAACATTCTAGAATTTGGTTTTTGTTTTGTTTGTTTGTTTTTGAGCCAAGGTCTCTTGTAGCCTAGGCTACCCCTAAATCATTATGTAGCAGAGGATGACCTTGAACTTCTGGCCATACTGCCTCTACAAGTGCTGAGATTACAGATGTGTGTCATGGCGCTGAGTTTTGTGGGTCCTGGGGCATCAAACCCAGGACGTGGTTCATGCAGGCAAGCTCTAACCACGGAGGAACAGTTAATCCCAGCAGCTCTGGTCTCTACTGTAGGAAAGGTACAAGGAGACAGCCATCCCGCTGGGATGGAGAAGTAGGATTTAACGTCATCATATTTATTACGTTCTGGAACAATACACGCTCACACCCTTTTGAGGACAGTACATTTGGCACGATAATGTGTACAATGAATTATGACACTAATGGATTAAAGTCACATCCAGAAAGGAAGGGAAAAATGTACAAAGAAAGCTTCACAACACAAAGTAAAACCCCTAAAGGTTTTCTATTTAGCCAGAACTATCTTGCACATCATTTAAAAAGAGGTAATTTTTTTTTAGCCTTCTTTTATTATTTTAAAGCAAAAATGAATCATGTTTTCACCTTTGGAGGAAAAAATATGTTTCTACTTCACAAAGTCCATCAATGAGAGGAAGGGAAGAGATACTATCCTTCATGTAGGTTTTTGGTTTGTTTGTTTGTTTGTTTGTTTTTTCACTTTTCTTTTCTCTAAAAGAAAGAGAGTGATAGTTGAAAAAAGAAGGAACTGGCAGAAATGTATCAGTGTGGCCATCCCCTGACTTTGCTCTGAGCACAGGGCTCTCCACCAGCAAGCAAGAGTTCTACCGCCAAGTCACATTCCCTGGACTAAGTTCTTCCTGAAAGGACTCAGTATACATCCTATACAAGTGTAGGACTCTGCTGAATTCAAACCTGCCAGTGTGAGAACCGCATTGGCCAGAGGTATCCCAGCCAGCCGGCTATGGGCACCGAAAGGGAGCCAGGGTGCTGACTGCCTACTGCTTGCTGGTGGAATGTATTGTGTTTGATTTCCCAGCAACGGTGCCAGTTGGCTGAAAAGAAGCGCCTAGCCCCTACTGTCACGTGAATACCACCAAGCCTTAGAAAACAGCCACTAGATGTTGGCCTTGGCTGTCCAATGTTCGCAACAGTAAGGAAGCTGGGGAGAGAGAGAGAGAGAGAGAGAGAGAGAGAGAGAGAGAGAGAGAGAGAGAGAGAGAGAGAGAGAGAGAGAGAGAGAGAGAGAGAGAGAGAATGATGGGCGTATTATCGTGTTTTTCTAAACAATGAGATGATACCACCATGAAGATCTTTCTGTGCTTGTTAGCCACTCCAAAAGATAGTCTTCCCCCAGTGTGTCAAGTCACTGAAGATAAATTAAATTAACCTAGTGTTCTTCATCAGTTCCCTGGTATGCCAAACATACAGATCCATACAGCATAGTATTTAATATTTGCAATCATCATAAGAACAGATCACAGTTACACCTGAGTTTTTTTCATTAAAAAAAAAAAAGCAGAAGAGAACCGAAGGTCACAATCAGTAACGAGGGCTGAAACCAGCCAGATGCAAATAGGGACACGTTGAGTATGGGCTCAAAATAGTCACTGTCCAAGCTTGGCAACCACTATGGAGAACATTCCTCTCCATCTGCCATTTCTATCGGGGTATGATGGAGCTCAGAAGAACCAAGTGCGAATTTAATATAGCTCATCATATGGTTACATCTTCAATCCAAAAGGAATTAACAGAAAGGACCCCATCCCTCCCTAGGAAGAAGCAGACCTCTCTCTGTGTAACTTGAACCAACAGTTGATAAGAGGATTGCACCTGGACATTATTATAGTTATTCTTTCATTGACTAAAGTTTTATAAGATGCCAGAACATGCAGCAGTTGATACCTCTATATTCAATGAATTAATTCCACAGGCCTTGCAGCAAACACTATATACAAAAAAAAATCTCAAATGTACAAAAGGCAAAAAGCTTCAATAGTGCCACTTTGCCACTCACAAAGTATATATATTTGGGGGCAGTTGGGAAATCCACGTGCAACAGTTGGAATGGATTCCATTCCCTGCTAAATCAGTTCAATAAAACAGGTAATCAAACGGCCTTTAGGGAACATATACACAAAGCCACAGAGAACCCTTAGGCATCAAAGACTAACACTGTCAGCGTATCTACAGGAGGTAACATCAGTCCATTAGAGTCCGCGCGTGCGCGAGTTGCCATCACATGTCACCAAAACTCTGGCCACATCCCACTACCTTGTCAGTCTTCAAATCACTTGCTCATCAGTCCCCTCACACCTTCTGCCTGGCCCAGGCTGAGTTTTGTTCCAATACTTCATTTTGCATACTGAATGTTTCAAACCACAAGTGGTACTACCGTTTTGTAGAAGTGCACAGAAAACAGAGTTTATGCTGGGAACTTGGGGGAAAAAACATGGAGAGAGAATTTGGGAGCTGAATAGTTCTGGAACCTCAGGGTCTAGGCTGTTGCTCTGGTGGTCTTTGCGCTCAGGGAGAAATCTGACGATGAGAAGCTAGAGTTTCCTCTGCTGTCTCTGCATAGCCCTCATGTGCCACTAAAGCATTACTAATAAACTTTGCACGACTGGATTCTTACTGTGGATTAGCCCTTTAATATCTACCTGTCTTCCCACTGGGATGTCTATCTTTTGGCCAATTAGAAAGTGAACTTGGTAACAGTTTTGTTTTGTTTTTTGAAATGTTAAGAGTTCAAAAATCAAAATGATTTCTTCTATGAGATACAAACATACACAACTTTGGCATGCTCAAAAAAAGCTAAGCAGGAATGTGCAATTCCAGAGCAAACGGACATGGTTGGCCAGCCTGAGCATCCCAGGCTCCTCCCATCAAGGGCACGCCTTGGGGCACCCGCCTTCACATGGAAGAAGTACCAGTCTCTTGTCCTAGGTAGAAGGGCGGGGATGGCAGGCTGGGGAACAGGAGGAATGAGAAAAGAGAAGAGTCGGGATTCCATATCCAGTGGCAGAGCCAGAGTCTTTGCGTTGGGTTGGCTTGTTTGCTTTTCCCTTGTAATAAAAGAACTGAAGTTGCTTCTGGGTTACAGATGGATGACGGACAATCCAAATCCAGCACTGTACGTAGCTACCCGCAGAGCAGACGCCATTCAGATCATCTGTGTTCCTGGTTGAGTCTAGACCCCAGAGTGCCTTCTGGTCACTGGAGGGTGGGGAAGGACATGGACTGGGGTGAGGGATTGCAATAAATAGAGTGGACATGGGACTGGGGCTCTGGGGTGGAGGAATAGTTTGAGACCTTCTGAGCCTCTGCAACATGGGATTTTTCTCAGCACCCTCCTTTCATTGTCAAGCTAACTCCACCAGAAGCGGCTTCTCAGGGCATCAGGTCTTCACCAAAGTAGGAGAAGCCTTTGAATTCCTCCTGGTTGATCTGTTTCACTATGGCTTCATCCACAAGCGTGAGTATCGGCTCTTCCCGGGTAAAGTCTTGGTCAAAGTTATTGACATCTCTTTTGGTTTTCTGTGGAGAGAAAATAGAAGGTGTTGAGTTGAGGCGTGACTTCCCTCTCAAGGGAACCCCCCACTCCCACACGGAGACTGGGCATCAAGATGACCAGCCTTTGCCAGAGCGAGCCTCTAGCTACCAGGGAGCAGGTACAGGGCTGTTCCAATGAGGTAATAATGGATGGCCCCAGGACCCAGAGGTGAAGAGGAGGAGAGCAAGAATGAGTTAAGGTGAGAAGGAAGAGGGTGCGTGAGTATGATGGAAAAGCAGGGAAGTGGGATTTCCACGGGCTGAGTGTGTGTGTGTGTGTGTGTGTGTGTGTGTGTGTGTAGTAAGATGCACAGCCTCCAACTCCTGTTCCCTTGTGGTATCTTCTATAACTGTCCATTTCCATAAAGACAGTCCTTGTTGTGCCCAGGGGACAAACTTAAATCCATCTGCCCAAAGTCTCCAGTGTTTTTCTCCCCACAGAGACAGACCTGATAGCCCTGCCTTATCTACTTCATATGACCACTCTAGAAGGATGGGCCAACATTAGGACGCAGGAACACCTTCTTTGACATCCATCTGCCCTCATCATTACCTTACTTTATAGTCCCATGGCTTGGCCATTATTACAATGTTGACTCAGCACACAGGCTTGCAGTGTTTTCATACTTTTATGTAGACCAGTGGTTCTTAGCCTGTGGGTTGTGATCTCTAGAGTAGGGTGGAACAACCCTTTCATAGGGGTCACCTATGACCATTGGAAAACACAGATATTTACACTAGCAACAAAAATATTTTGTGGCTGGACAGTGATGGTGCACGCCTTTAATCCCAGCACTTGGGAGACAGGTGCAGGTGGATCCCTGTGAGTTCAAGGCCAGTCTGATCTACAGAGCCATTTCCAGGATTGGCTCCATAGCTTCTGGGAAACCTTGTCTTGAAAAGCTAATATATATATATATATATATATATATAGATAGATAGATAGATAGATAGATAAATGATTTTATAGTTGGGGTCACCACACGTGAGGAACAGTATTGAAAGATTGCAGCATTAGGAAGGTTGAGAACCACTGCTCTAGACCATATAGTCCTTTTCTTGGTCAATTTTAGTCAGAGAACCTTAGTCCCCAGTTCAGAAGGACAAGCCAGCTAGACATTCAAGCTCCCAGGGGAAATCTATGTGGCTCCTGGTTTCTATCTAGGGCTTGGATAGAGGGCAGAAAACAAGAAACAAACCTACATATTCTGGTTTGGGGAGAGGGTCAGGAAGTGTCAGCAATACCCTACCTTTAAGGGCTTGCAGATGCCTAAGAGAGCCGAGTGTGCTTGTCTGGGTTGTGCTGTTTTAGCTACAAAGAACTTCCAGAGAAAGAAGTCAGGGTTTGGCTAAACCTGAAGAATGGTTTATAACATGTCAGTATAGATGTGCAGAAGGTGGGATAAAACAGGGGTCAAGAACATACAACATGTATGCACAGAACAATGGGTCTGCCAAGCTGCCTGGATCAGAGCCCAGTGAGGGATGGCCAGGAGGGAAGACTGGAATCTGACCATAGAGGCCTTCGATCCCAAGCCCACAGTACTGAGCGCAGTATGGGGTACAGTGGAGAGGATGGAGGCCCTCCAGCAGTGCCTTTTGGGACATTGGTCAACTGGTACACTGGCTAGCTGGTTAGTGGCCTAGATGATGCGGTATACCTTATAGAAAAGTCAGTCATTATTTAAAGGATGATTAATAAGGAAACATGCTATTCTTAATGGAAACCTGTAACCTTAAAGATGCTAACAATTAGCCTGTGAGAAAAAGTATCTTTGAGATAAAGCCGTATGTTGAGTCTGTGTTTGGATGGTCCCCAGGCATGCGAACAAATTCAAATCTCTGAGAAATGCTAGAAGAAAGAAACCCGGTCCTCAAACTTGACACTTTCCATCCTGAGCTCCTGAATGATGGATTCAAGCCTTTCCCGAAAGGAAAATTCTACAGGGAAGTTGGGAGATACTATTCCAGAACTTTTCAATGCATCTCCACACTCCTTTGCTCATTTGACCCTTAGACCAGGCAAGTATCTTGATTCTGGTTTTGTAGAGGAGGCAACTGTGATTCAGAGGGGTTTGGTGGCTTGGCTGGGGTTACCCAACTGGGAATGAGCCAGACTCATATCCAGGTCTTAACATGACACCTCCTCCCCTAGTAGAACTTACAGGAGATGTGAGCCCTGCAGGAATGGGATGGCATGCATGACAAGGGTGAAGGTCAACCAGGAGAAACATTTTTTTAGAAGAACCCAATAGGCTTTTGGGGAAAAAAAAAAAGCCAGAAGGGGCTGGCACAGGCAAACAGGGAGATAGTTGGGAATCGTAGTGAGAGGGTCTAGAGCATGGGGAAGCTGGCAGAGGAGCCAGCCCAATGGCCCAGATTAGACATAATGATGGGCAGGAAGGGACAGGATGAGCGACTCTGTCCTTAGCACAATGAGTCCTGACTGATGCTGCCTCTTTGGTCTTGAGCTGCACAGTTTGGGTCTCGGAGACTGTGAGGGAGGACAGAGAAGACAGAAGAGGCAAGAAGTGCCCAGAAACACAATCTGTGATGGGGGGGTATCTGTGGTCCCTTCAGCAGGGAACCTCAGACATAGTATAGTCTTCCATGGGGGGTCTAGCTGTTCTCCTGGGGTTTCAGAGTCAGAGGAATGGAAGACCTGAGCAGAGAGCTGCTCCAGAGACGGGTGACAAAGTTGGTCCTTAGGGTGATGCAAGCTGGCTGTGGGGCAATGGTGGCTGGGGCGGCTCTCCTGGGGATCCCCCCAGTGGAGGGGGAGGAGTCATAAAGTTAAAGGATAGGGAGGGCTGTGTTGGGTAAAGGGCTCAGCCAGAGGGAGTTTGGGTGGCAGAGAGGTAATGGCCACAACTTGTGAAGTACCAGGCATTGTACGAAGGGCAACCAAATGGCCAGAGTGAAGGGTTCCCAGAGGAGGAAAGATCCATTTGGAACATAGCTAAGGATAAGCTGAGATTCTAGGGCAGGGACACCTCCGTCCTGGCCCAACCTTTCAACTAGTCACCAAGGAGGGCAGGGTATATATAAAGAACCTCAGATAACCCATTTGCTCTGTGGCATTGGCTGTCCTTGCTTACTTAATTGCTCGTATTTCATCAGTTGGTCATCAGTGACAGATTAATGCTTGTTAGTCACAGAAACTGGTTTGCTGTCTTGAGGTCAGCCGGGCACAGCAATGGAGCGAGAGTCTCCAGTGTGTCTAGGCTTCACAGCTCATTGGTTATTGGGCTCTGCTGCTATATCCAGAGATGATTCCATCATGAGCTAGCTGGGGGAGTCATTTAGCTCAGTTCTGGGTTTCTCGAGGCAATCCCAGAATCACCCAAGTGCATTCAGAAGAATATGCCATTTCCCCCTCCCACAGGCCATCTGGGAATACTGTTGGGCATCACACCCAAGCCTTGCACATGACACTCAGGCACTCTTACCACCGAGTCACATCTCCATACGAGGGATGCCATCTTTGCTGATCGCTACAGACTGGCCACAGCCCCTTGCACAACTTGATGCCTGGCCCTGACATTTTAGGTGCACATTAGTTACCCATTTCCAATTTAAATAGATAACAGCCCCATGGGATGCAATTCCTGATTGTTGAAGATGGGAGGCTTGGGACTTTTTTTTCAAAGCACCCTCTCCCCCGTCACTGGCATTTAGGCAGCATTGCATCCCCCAAACCAGAAAGGGCTGAGACTGTCTCCTTCACTCACTAATTGTATTCTTTCCAACACTTCTGCTTTCTTCATAGTACACCCAAGACTCACCTCTATGGTTCAAACTCAGGCTTTCAGAGATAATGCCTACTTTGTCCTTGTTCAGTCTGTGTGCCTTCCCAGTGCTCATACTGTGCTGTCCAAGAAGTGACACTGGACCCAGGAGCATCATTCTGACTCCACAGACTTTCCGTCCTCTACACAGCCTTTCCCACAACCTCTGGGCCACACTCAGGGAAGGATGCATGGAGAAAAACAAAGACCACCGTCCTTGACATTGTCCTCCCCTGCTTATAGGACACTGATGCTAAGCTCTGTGGGCACTGTCTTTGCGTCTGCAAAATTGTGGTGTTGACAATACCTTACAGGCTGCCTGCCACATGTATTGGGTGAGCACCTGATAGCTGTGGGTACCATGTACCACGGGCCCATATCACACACCTCTCAGGTGTTTTCCACGATAAACACATTGGAACTATCCTTCATTCTCTCTATATCCCCAAATCCTACCTGAATAGGCCTTCCTGAAGGTCTCGGCACCTTCTTTACTATTCTAGATTCTTCTACGGCGCCTTCCAACCCTGAGAACTGAGTCCCAAGTGCCTACGCTGGCTCACTTCTAAGTCCTATAGGATCTTCTCCCTGTGCACCCTGGTACCGTCTCTGGGCACCGCTGATCTGTGATACCCCACACTCACAGAGCTTCTTCATGCCTTAGTCCTTTGCCCAGCTCACCTCCTGCCTGGATGGAGTACACCCTCTCTCTTCCTTGTCTATGGTCCTCATCCGTTTCTCTTTCCCATCTAGTGTGAATGCCCTTCCTTCAGGAAGCCTTGCTTGTCCCCTGCTAGTGGTCTGAGAGGAGCCTTGGGTGGACGCCCCACTATTCTCCATTCTCACATACCGTGGGCCTCCCTATACAAGTAGGGATGGGCTTGAACTCATCATTCATCCTCTGCCCCATGCCTGCCATTGATTGACAGCTATTGGCATCTGTTGGAAGAGATGAATGAGCCTCTCGTATCTAACCCAGCAAAGTGACTGCCCAGAATGGTCAATGGCTGCCATTCTGCCAGAGGGGTTTGTCCGATGGGGAAGTGGAGGCAGGAGTGGGGTGGAAGCTAACGTCTGACTCATAAGGACAGCCCAGACAAGGGCCCAGCCCCAGGGGCCTATGAATGGGAGTTGATGGGCTCTCTTATCTTAGTCCCTCCGGGCACAGAGTTAGCTGTCTAATTGCTACTACAAGAA